AAGCCATGGCCCCCAGCCCCTGGGCAGGGAGGTCCTGTCCCTCACCCATGGCTCAGGGTTCTTCCTGGGGCAGTGGCATGTGGGGTGTGTGATGCTGTGAGAAGGACAATGCTATGACACCTGCTGGCCTCCCCACTGGGTTTCAAGGAGGCAACAAGGCCCCGGTGTCATGAGCACAGCATGTGTCCTTGTGAGCCTCAGTAGCAGAGACAACTGCCATAGCCAGGGGGACAAAGACCTTAGTGCTGTTGGGGCCTTGCAGCCTTGTCAGTGCACTCGGTCTTTTCCACCACAGGCTGTCCTGCACTGTCCAATTCTTGCCCTTTTCTCCCTGCAGGCTACAGGCATGCACTTCACGTTTCCACTTTGCTCTCACCCTGGCATTTCCTTACTTTCACTAAGGTCTCCCCACCCTCCCTGGCTGTCCTTTGAAACAAAATGGCATGGGCTGACCATAGACTCCTTCTGGGTGATGTCAGGTCCCACAGCACTACCCTTTCAGTGACATTTCCTCCTCCTCATTCCCACTCTTCACCTTCCAAGCAGCACTTTGTGCCACTTGTGACTCTCTCCTGCTATTTCCCACCACCAGAGAATCCTCACCAGGGTCTTCCAAGACACATGCCTGCTGCTGGCCTTCCAGTTTCTCAGGTAGACATAACTAAGTTGTGTACCCGTTCCTGTCCCACCATGTGCTCAGGCAGAAGGGACTTGAAAACCCACAGCCAAGGCCTCTTCCTGCATGGGGCCTATGAGGCTCTCAGACAGAGGGCATCTCACAACCAGTGTGCCAAGAAGGTATGTTCTGCTGCCTGATCAGGGATGCTGGCGGGTGTGAGCTGAAAAACACAGATGTCAGCCAGGAGGCAAGGGCTGACACAGCAGCTGCTTCAGGAAGCAGTCACCTCATAGGCCTTGTCCCCAGCCATGTTACTGCTGCTGGCCTGTCAGCTCCAGAGATTGAGCTGACCAGAGGCTTCCTACTCGTTGTTAAGTTTCTGAGGCACCACAGACCTCAACTTATTCACCCGGCACCGTCATTGTGTGCCAGGGCCTGGGGAGATAAAAAAAAGTAAGCTTATCAAGTAAATTTTCTACCCTTAGTTTATAAAGTAAATTTTCTACTACTACTTCAAATATGGAATCATTCTTTGCAGGATCTACCGTGGTCATAGGAACACAAGATGTATCTCTGCCTATACCTCTCTCCCTTTTCCTCTTCCTCTGACTGCTATGTCTTCAGAGAGCTCTCTGAAGGACAGGTCATTGAATCACAATAAACAAATAAATGTTCCAAGAGACTTCTGATTTTTATCTTCTTCAACTCTTCTGATCAAGGTAGACTGAATAGATAAGATTGATCAAGGGCTCCTCGGACCTTGACACCATCCAGAAAAGATCTGAAAGTGTGCTCCATCCGGTAATTCAGAGAGTCAATAACGACATTCAGCAGTGCTGCTCCAAGTGCTGATCGCTGAGGGATGATGCTAAGAACTGACTGACAGCACTATGTGTCATGGATGATATCTGGGCCTGATTGTCCAGCAAACAGGCACACCCACGGCCTCACCAATTTGTTAAATACACATAGCACCATTCTGGCTATAAGAATTCTTTGAGACAAAGCCAAAGGCCTTGCTAAAGACAGGTAGGCACCTTCTCTTGCCTTTGCTTCCCTTTCCTTCCCCTCCCCTATAGGTTCAGCAATCCTATTTTTTTTCCTTCAAGTGCCTGGAGGTGGCTGTGGAAAAGCTTGCCCCATCACCTTTGCAGGGACTGAGGTGAGGCTGACCAGCCTTCATTCTCCCAGCCCTCCACAGCATGAGGAATGGACACTGGCTGAGGGCATTTGTGCAGCCTCAGGTTCACCTCAGCACATGTACACGATGTGTATGCTGAAGCCTCAATTGTACCAGGCACATCTGGACTTCTGAGTGAGCCGTTCTGTGTCCCACTGCAGAGGAACAAACCACCTCTCTGAGCTGGGCTGAGAGCCCTGGTCCTGGAGCTCCTCAGGCAGCTCCTGCTGCCGCTGAGCCCTGGCAGCCTGCTCCAAGCTGCAGAAGTACCCAGGGGTTTCTCTTTCCAGGGATCCCCTGCACACACACGGGGCCCCACTCTCCTCCCAGGACTTCCCACATCAACAGAGAGCCTTTCCCAGGAAGAAGCATGCCTGTGCTGGTCTGGCCAACCATTCCTGCACCCTATCTCCGCACACCTCACAGCCCCAGCTGGTGGTTCTGCTTTGCAGAGCAAGGGGCCTGTGGTGTCCAGGACACAGGGGCACTCTGCAGGGCTGTGCTGGGCAGGCTGGGAGGCAGAGACAGCTCATAGGGCTCTTCCACTGACTGCCTCCCACACCAGCTCTTCTGTGGCTGTCGAGGGTGCTCAGAGGTAGCCTGCCTTCTTTCCAGTGCCACAAGAAGTGTTTGGGTGCTGCACCCTATGGCATTCCACTATTCACATTCCGCATTTGCCCACCAGACTTCTTTCCCCATTCCTGCTATGTCCCCTGGGTCACGGGGCTCTTCTTTTCCTGCTCACATCCAGATTTAACACTTTATCACAGGGGGACTCCACCTGGAAGAGGCTCATGCTCTGTGGGCTCCATTCACTGCTGACCCCCTGGGACACACTGTCCCTGCAGCTCCCCTGGGCTCTCCTGATTCCTTCCAAAAATTGCTCACCTGCCACCAGCCCCAGCACATGTTGTAGTGCCCCAGGCAGGTTAATTGGAGACTCCTCACCATCTGCCTGAGTGCTGAACACCAACAAGCAACACCTGAGTGAGTCCCCATGCCCTCAAACACCCAGCTGGGGCTCTGATCACTTCACCCTGAGCCCATGGAGAAACAGGCAAAGCCAGGTCCCCCTTTAGAATCCATTTCTGGACTGCAATGTTCTTGACAGAAACTGTGAAGGAAGACTTGAACCCTAGGCGCTACCCTGAGCTGAATCACGTTATGGGATGGAAATGCTGTTCTGGAGGCCATCTGTATCACAAAAATGCCCGTTGCCTGTCGGTGGGATTGGTCACAGGATTGCCACACAGCAGTACTGTGACCAAGCTGCAGGAACAATCAGGCTTATGCCAACAGAAAAGGCTCAGAAGGAGAGTGTGGAGATGGAGCAAGAGCTGCCCCAGACAGACCAAACACCGGTGCTTCCTGGCAGTGCTGTTCTGATGGGACTCTATTGCTTTCCGCTTCTACCCATGGGCATTACCATGGAACCCCCAGCAAAATTCTCAGAAAAAGCATCTCAGACACACTCTTCAGTGCAGGTTCCTTTATTTTGTTTAAACACAGGAGTGGGATAAACAATGACAATTTATATGGATTACGTTGATGGCCCTCTCCCCAATAACGAACAAAAAAAACACTCAAGAACAAAAGACAAGTTTGGCATGGCATGAGTTATATTACCAGTGCTATTCAGGAGAAGACAGGCAGGACATTACTTCTGATGTACACCCACTCATGAGTTTCTGCAGTGCATCCTTGAGCTCCTTGTTCCACATGCTGTAGATGAGGGGGTTTATGGCTGGAGGAACCACCGAGTACAAAACTGTCACCACCAGATCCAGGGATGGGGAGGAGATGTAGGGGGGCTTCAGGTAGGTAAAAATGGCAGTGCTGAAAAACAGGGAGACCACGAACAGGTGAGGGAGGCACGTGGAAAAGACTTTCTGCTGTCCATGCACATAGGAGAAAAGAATGAAAATAAAACATGTGGATGCTAAAGAGAAACCAATCATAAGTACCCAAACATTCCTGAGGTAGGAATATGAGCAACAGATCCTGAGGATTTGCACATAGGGCAACAAAATGAATGCAAACACCCCCCCAAACAAAACAAAAACACTAAATGTGAGAAGCCCCATTTCCCTGAGGTAGGAGTCAGAGCAAGAGAGCTTGAGGATCTGCGGGACTTCACAGAAGAACTGGTCCACAGCATTTCCTCCACAGAGGGGCAGGGAAAATGTACTGGCAGTGTGCAGCAGAGCACAGCGAACCCCACTACCCCAGGCAGCTGCTGCCATCTGGGCACAAGCTCTGCTCCCCAGGAGGCTCCCGTAGTGCAGGGGCTTGCAGATGGCAACGTAGCGGTCATAGGACATGACAGTGAGAAGAAAAAACTCTGCTGACATTAAAAAGAAAAAGAAAAAGACCTGTGCAGCACATCCTGCATAGGAAATGGCCCTGGTATCATGGGGGTGTGGAGGCGGTGGTTGCAGGCTACAGCTGTGAGGATGAGGCCGTTGCCCAGGAGGGCAGCCAGGTTAATTTCCTACAAAGTATAATAACAATCTATATTCTTTTATTTTAAGACTATTCCCCCTTTTCCTATCATCATATAGCCAAATAAGGAGTCCCTCTTCACCCTTTTAAGTACTGAAAAGTATTTTTAAAAAAGTACTTTTAAAAAGACCTCTTTAAGGTCCCTTTAAGTTTTTTTTTTTTTTTATAAAAAAAAAAAAAACGAAAAAAAAAAAAAAGAAAAGCTGCAATGAGGTCACCCCAGAGACTTCTCTTCTCCAGGCTGCACATCCCCACCTCTCTCAAACTCTCTTCATACAAGAGGTGCTCCAACCTTCTGATTAAATTTTTATCCCTCCTGTAGTGAGTTAACTTGGCAAGGTTTTGGTAGCAGGGTGCCATAGGGGTGGCTTCTGTGAGAAGAACCCAGAAGCAGCCCCATGTTAGACTAGGGGCCCGCCGCAAGCCAGATTCAAGCCAATAAGCAATGGTGTTTGCATTTCTGTGAAAACATATTTAAGAAAGGGTAAAAAATAAGCTGCTACACAACAGCAGCTGGGAGAGATAAGAGTGAGAAACTTTTGGTTTTTAGTTCCTCACTGCTCCAGTCAGTCAGTTAAATCTCAGTAAGTGATCTTAATCTCCCTACACTGAATCTGTTTTGCCCAAGACTGCAAATGGTAAGTCTTCTAACTGTATCTTCCAAAAAAAAAAAAAAAAAAAAAAAAAGGAGCCCTTTCCACTCTGTTTTCTCCGGCTGCTCCTTTGAGGAGGGGATGAAAGTGTGATGAGTGTGATGTGCTGGAGTTCAGCTGCCAATTGGTGTGAAACCACCACACTGCTCAGCCGTGTTACTGGCATCTGGCATCAGCTTTGAAAGAAGAAGTAGGATTTCAGGCAGTCCGCTGGGGAGATCCTGTTTTATTAAGCAGATGTTAAGAGAGAGTACTCAAAAAGCAGTTTCATTCCTCAATGTACAGTAGATATACATATTAAAAATAAATAAATCTAATAAACTAATGAACGGGAATGACAACAAAGATAAATGTAACAATAATGATCATGAAACAAATACCCAGGAAGTCATTTGTGGAGAAAAAGTGGTAATTTATCACTTTTCAGAAACATCCCTGAAATCATTTTCCTAATGGCACACTTGAGCTCCTGGTTCCTCATGCTGTAGATGAGGGGGTTCACTGCTGGAGGCATCACTGAGTACAGAAATGACACCATCAGGTCCTGGGCTGGGAAGGAGATTGAGGAGGGCTTCATGTAGGCAAAAAGTCCAGTGATGACAAACAGGGAGACCACAAACAGGTGAGGGAGGCACGTGGAGAAGGCTTTGTGCTGGCCCTGCTCAGAGGGCATCCTCAGCACGGCCCTGAAGACCTGCACATAGGAAAAAATAATTAAAAAAAAGCACATGGATGCTAAAGGGACACCAATCATAAGTACCCAAGCATTCCTGAGGTAGGAGTGTGAGCAGGAGAGCTTGAGGATCTGGGGGACTTCACAGAAGAACTGGTCCACAGCATTTCCTCCGCAGAGGGGCAGGGAAAATGTATTGGCAGTGTGCAGCAGAGCACAGAGAACCCCACTGCCCCAGGCAGCTGCTGCCATCTGGGCACAAGCTCTGCTGCCCAGGAGGGTCCCGTAGTGCAGGGGCTTGCAGATGGCAACGTAGCGGTCATAGGACATGACAGTGAGAAGAAAAAACTCTGCTGATATCAAGAAAAGAAACAGAAAGACCTGTGCAGCACATCCTGAGTAGGAAATGGCCCTGGTGTCCCAGAGAGAATTGGCCATGGCTTTGGGGAGAGTGGATGAGATGCAGCCCAGGTCGACGAGGGCAAGGTTGAGGAGGAAGAAGTACATGGGGGTGTGGAGGTTGTGGTTGCAGGCTATGGTGGTGAGGATGAGGCCGTTGCCCAGGAGGGCAGCCAGGTAGATGCCCAGGAAGAAAGCGAAATGCAGGATCTGCAGCTCCCACGTGTCTGCGAACGGCAGGAGGAGGAACTCGGTGATGGAGCTGCTGTTGGACATCTGATCCTCCTGGACAAAGGGGAACAATCCCAGGAAAATAAAAGACAATGATAATTAGGAAGGACATCTTTGATAAAAACCTGCTCCACTTCTCTCTGAAGTCCCCCACAGTGATTTTCCTCTTTCTGAGACATTTTTTCTGCTCCCTTGCTTGAGCTCCGGTTGGTGATCGTGGTAAAGGGTGCCACTGGGAGCAGGGGGCTCTGCTGTGGGCTCTGAAGGAGTCAGGCTTTCCCTTCATGTCTAGGTAAATAAGAAATACGAGTGATCTCTGCTTAATCTATCTCTGATGTATGTGGACTTCACAGCATTACCACTGTGAATGCTCTTGACTGCCAAAATTTTTGGTTTACTTTCTTGCAGCTAGCTGTGTCATACTCAGGAGCATTTCTTAAGGGAAGAAAACCCCGGCACTTTTCAGGTATTCCAACTGAGATCTTCTGAGTCCCTTGAGACATAGGCACTCTCCTTCATGCAGTGAGGTTGGCCAGTCTGTCTATCTACCCTCATCTCAGCCAGAGTCCTTGAGGGCTCAGTCCACTGGCCCAATTACTGTGGCCTCAGGAACTGCCTGTAAGACGATTCAGATTTTTCCTGCCCCATAAACTGCATTGCCCTGAGCCCCACAGGTTTTAAGGGGAACTTTGGGCACCTTCCTCCTATGGACACATCTGTGTGGTGGAAGTCAGTGCTAGAGCTGCAGCTGAAAGCCAGACCTGCAGCAAGCCATAAAACAAGAACAGCAACAGCAGATGAAGGAACAAAGAGAAACAGCCCAGGGCTTCTGCCAGGGGAGGCAAGGCCAGGGAGGGACTGAAAGGATCTCAGGAGAGCCAGCTCTGCCGGAGGTTCCACTCATGAGGTTATGAGACATCCTGATTCCTGTGGGCTTGAGGTCGGAAAAGGAGGTACCAGACTATGTTCGCACTGTCCTGCCATTTCCAGCCCAGGGATGTGCTGCCTGCAGCTGTCCCTGCCTGCAGCTGGGTCTCTGTCCCCACGCCTCCTGCCTGCACCTCAGAGCCCCCATCCCACCCGCTGGGTGCTCAGCTCTGCCCTGCAGACACCTCCTGGCAGCAGGGCTCTGCCCAGGGGCAGCTCGCTGAGGGCACGTCCTAGAGACTATTTCCCACAGAACCTGCTGACACTGCACGGGTGGTGGTGGAGCTTTCTATGGGCGGAAGGGCAGGAAAGCAACTTGCTAGGGTTGCTTGTAACCTTCCATGGGATGGATTAAGTGTGTCAGACTCATCTCGGAAATAACAGTATTTATTTCTATTTCCACTGAGCCAGATAAGACAAAACTGAAAGGTCAGGAGTCTCAGGAAAGCTGAGACTGATGCTGAAATCCCTTTCCTTAAACCAGCTCTTGCTAAGTCCCCTTTTATACACCCAGTTGTGCTGTGGAGCTGTGAGCAGGCTGCCCCAGGCCTCCCACCAGCAGCAGGACCCTGCCCTGCCAGGGGGGAGCTCCTTCCACCCACAGCTTCTCCCCGCAGCGCCCTGGGCAGCTCCCCAGGCAGGCTGAGTGCTGAGCCTGGCAGGCGGCAGAGGCCCTGCCCCGCCACACAGCCCCTGGGCCACAGCAGGGACCCTGCTCTGCACCACAGCCCTGGGCACCCCTGCCTGCACCCCTGGCTTCTCCTGCCTCCACGAACTGCGGCTGCATTGCCCTCCAGCCAGAGACTTACCGGGTGCAGGGCTGCGAAGTCTTCTCCCGCAGGGAGCTCTGGGCATGCTGCCACTTCTGCCTGCCTTTAAGCACTGTGTCTCTGCAGGCAGTGCCCCCAGCCCTGCTGCGCTGTGCAGAGGAGCTGCTCCTGGGCAGAGCTGTCTCTGTGCAGCGCTGCCCGCTTGCCAGGAGCTCCCCTTGGGCCCAGGAGCCCGGCCCAGCTCAGCAGCAGAGGCCCAGCCCAAGGCCTCCCTTGCTCTGCCCCCCACCAGGCTCCCTGCACATGGCCCTGGGGCTCCAGGGCTCACGGCTCCAGGATGGCAGCAGGGTCTCCCCTGGGGAACACACTTGGAAGCAGACAAAGCAAACACTGACTGGCCCTCTCTAAACACTTTGCTGACTGATTCCTGCAGCAGGAATTGCCCTAACTGGGTGTGTAGGGGTACAAGACATGCCAAAGTTCCTCTCTGTATTTCAAATTATTCATCAATGAAGTGGATAATGTGCACCCCCAGCACCTTTGTTGATGACACAAAGCTGGGATGAGTATCTGAGATCCCAAAGGGCTCTGCTGCCATTCAGAGGGACCTCAGCACGGTAGAGAGATGAGGCTGGGCACTGACCAGCAGGAGAGCAGCTCTGCAGAGAGAGACCTCGGAGTCCTGGGGGACAGTACGCTGAGCATGAGACAGCAATCTGCCCTTGTGGCCTAGAAGGTCAATGGGATACTGGGTGCATTTGGAAGGGTGTTCTGCAGCAGGCCAAGAGAGGTGATCCTCCCCCTCTACTCAGCCTGTACTGGTGATTGGCGTTATTCCTCCCTAGGAAGGAGACACCACCTTTTCTTTGTGATGTCAAACGCATGAGAAGCCCAATAGGGTCAGAAAAGTGGCCATTTAGTTGCAGAAGAAGCAATAGGGATGGATTCTCCTGAAATGCTACTTATTCCTTGACAGAGCGGCACACTGCAACAGCCATGGTGACAGCCTGGCAGCCTTGTGTCTGGGTATTCCTGTGAGATCAGCCAAATGGGATGAAGGATTTGTTCCTGTCCCTTCTGTTGTGAGAGGGGTTTTGCCTCTCAGCAAAGCATATCGCTGTTGCCTAGGCTCCTTCTGTGAGTGGCATCTGCCGTTGGGGCCCAGAGATGTGCAAAGTCTTGGTTCTCTTGCTTTCCAACATCCTCTGGCATTCAGTCAACACAAAGCAACCCAAGGTCTTCACCACAGCTGGTCATCATGGAAAGGCACTGTGACTCCTTGCAACTGGCTTCAGTAATTCTGCCTTTGCTTATGTCAATTGTGATTGCCTACATTATTTCAGACTCTTCTAGAGGTGACTTTGGAGTATGGGAATTCTCTATACAAATACAAAAGAGCTTTGATATTTTAGCTTGTGCTCAATGACTTTGGTCCTAGAACATTGCAGGTTATTGAATCAAAGCCTGGAATATCTTAGAGCCAATCACACACTGGCCTATAGTGTGTTGGTTATGGAAAATACTCTGGTGGGGGACTTCAACTTCCCAAATGTCTGGAGGAAAGACAACACAGACAACACCCGAAAACTTGTGTTGGGCCACGTGTGATAAACTCAGATGGAAAGACTCAAGAACAGGTAACTCTGAATGGCTGTGGCACAGCCCAGAAGCTTGCCCCAGTCTGGGAATATGCCCCTGTCCAACTATGGAAATTATAAGGCATTAATATGAACAGACCCATCAGGTCAGTCAGCATAGTAAGGGGAAGTAATAGTTATTGTGCTGTAGGTGCAGAAGGCAATAAGCCTTGGATTGATCCTCAGAAGACTCAAGGACATCTAATGCAGTTCATCCATGAGCTAAGACAAACACTGTGAGCAGAGTGAAGGACACTTCGAGCAGAGGAGAGGGGCAACTGGCATGGCTGAGCAAGGAGCTGCTGCTTAAACTAAGGGAAAAATAGGAAAATGTACAAGAAGTGGAAGGAGGGTTATATTGCCTGGGAGGAATACGGGGGTGTCAACTAGATGTGTAGAGACGGGACCAGGAAATCCAAGGCACAGACGGAGCTGAACTTGGCAAGGGACGTGAAGAATAACAAGAAGGGGTTCTACGGATACATAGGCAGGAGGAGACAACCCAAGGAGAGTGTTCCCCCTCTGGTAAATGAGATGGAAGAACTGGCTTCCTCAGACATGGAAAAAGCTGAGGTACTCAGTAAGTGCTTTGCCTCAGTCTTCACTCGTGGTCAAGTTTCCTGTGTCTCTCAGGACCCTGAACCTTGAGGAGAGGGTGAGAGGAGCAGATTCTGTCCCACTGTGAGAGTGGAACAAGTCCAGGATTGCCTAATGAAAGTGGATGTGTACAAGTCCTTGGGGCCAGAGGGTATACATCCCAGGGTGCTGAGAGAGATGGCTGATGTGGTTGCTGAGCCGCTCTCCATCACATTCGAAAATTCATGGCTGTTGCGTGAAGCCCCCAGGGACTGGAAAAAGGGAAACATGACTCCCATTTTTAAGAAAGGGAAAACAGAAGAACTGGGGAACTACAGGCTGGTGATCCTCACCTCTGTGCCTGAGGTGATCATGGAGCAGTCCCTCCTGGAACACATCTTAAGGCATGCATGAGATAAAGAGGTGATTTGAGACAGCCAGTATGGCTTCACCAAAGGCAGATCTTGCCTAACCAATCTGGTGGCCTTCTATGATGGAGTGATGGCATCAGTGGACAAAGGAAGGGCTACGAATATCATCTACCTGGACTTGAGCAAAGCTTTTGATATGGTCCCTCACCACATTCGTCTCTCTAAATTGGAGAGGTATAGATTTGAAGGACGGATTGTTAGGTGGATCAAGAATTGGTTGGCTGGTCGCAGCCAAAGTGTTGTGGTCAATAGTTCTATGTCTGGGTGGAGGCTGGTCACAAGTGGTGTCCCTCAGGGGTCGGTCTTGGAGCTGGTGCTCTTCAACATCTTTATCAATGACATGGGTGATGGAATCGAGTGCATCCTCAGCAAGTTTGCAGATGACACCAAGCTGAGCGGTGCAGTTGATACAATAGAGGGAAGGGATGCCATCCAGAGGGACCTGGACAGGCTGGAGTACTGGGCCCATGAGAACCTAATGAGGCTCAACAAGGCCAAGTGCAAGGTGTTGCACTTGGACGTGGGCAATCCCAGGTCTTTATATAGACTGGGCAAAGAAGAATTTGAGAGCAGCCCTGTGGAGAAGGACTTGGGGGTCCTGCTGGACGAGAAGCTGCACATGAGCCAGCAGCATGCGCTTGTTGCCTGGAAGGCCAACTCTGTCCTGGGCTGCATTAAAAAGGAGTGGCCAGGAGGGAGAGGGAAGTGACTGTCCCCCTCTACTCTGTTATTGTGAGACCCCACCTGGAATACTGCGTACAGGCCTGAGGCCCCCAGCACAAGAAGGATGTGGAGCTCTTGGAATGGATCCAGAGGAGGGCCACTCAGATGATCAGAGGGCTAAAGCATCTCCCCTATGCAGAAAGGTTGAAGGAAGTGGTCTTGTTTAGCTTAGAGAAGAGAAGGCTCCACTAAGACCTCATTGTAACCTTCCAGTACTTGAAGGGAGTGTATAAACAGGAGGGGGAAATGCCTGTTCATATGTGTTGGTAGTGATTGAACAAGGGGGAATGGTTTTAAAGTAAGACAGGGGAGGTTTAGACTAGAAATTAGGAGATCTTTTTTCACTCAGAGGGTGTTGAGGCACTGGAACATGTTGCCCGGAGAGGTTGTGGATGCCCCATCCCTGGAGGCATTCAAGGCCTTGCTGTATGTGGCTCTGGGCATCCTGCTCTGATGGTTGGCAACCCTGCCCAGAGCAGGGGGGTTGAAAGTAGGTGATTTTTAAGGTCCTTTTCAACCCAGGACTTTCCATGATTCTATGATTATATGCCTTTCCTCCTAGAGACAGATCCCAAAGAGGCATCACCTCCCAGGGAAACCTGTTCCTGGATTGTCCCCCATAGCAAGGAGGCATGCCTAGAGAAGCCCTAGGGATAAGGGCATCCCTAGCATCAGGACCCAGCAGTCCTGGCTGCCAGATTGTCCCCTCAGGTCAGAGGGACACTCAGGCAGGGCTCTCACAGTAGCCAACAGCCTTCTCCAGCATCCCACCAAAGCCCAGAAATTGCAGCTTTGGATAGCTGACAGCTCTTGAGACGCATCTTGGAAAGGGGCTCCTGACACCCTCACCTTTGGAGTAGAGCTGCAGGAGCACTGGGAACAGGGAAGTCAGGTCAGAGGCGATGGTCACCCTCCAGCAGCCCTCCATCTCGTTTGCTGCTGGCCCTCAGCTCAGGACAAGGGATGCCCGCCCTGGCTCCTCAACCACAGCTCCTCTGCAAGGTGCCCCTGCTCCTCCGCCCGTCAGCGAGGGTCGCCCAGTGCAAGCTTGCTGCCTGCTGACCCCACTCCTGGCCACAGAAGGACAGCGCTGGGGAGCACCCAAGCAGTGCCCAGCACGGACCAGGCCTTGCAGGGAAGGGGAGCACTGCCGCTGCTCCAGTGCTTATATCCTGGTGATGCAGGGCATCCCCTGTGACATCAGCCCATGTCATTATAAGGCCTGTGAGGTCAGCAGCAAGGAGATGGCACAGCTCAGGAGAGAGATGAGAGATTTCCCTTCTTGTCCTGAAAAACAGTCACCTCCCTTCTGCCCAGTTCTTTTCGGGATCAGGAACAGATCAGGGACATCTCCAAATGCTGGCAAAGGCCATGGAGCAAAGGAAGTGGAGCCTTGGAGATATCACCACTGCCCCCTTATACCAACATGCTTCTGCTGTTGGGAGCCCTCCCATGATGGTTGGGTTTGAGGCTTGTCCTGGGGCTAGGATTTTTCAAAAGATGGGAGCAAAGGCACCTGGGATGGAACAGCCCCTCGGAGTCACTGAACTCTTCACTGCATGTAACTCACTTCTGAAAGAAAGATGGGTTTTACAGAGTGAATTGGGGTACATGCCAGGGCCTCAGCACCATCCCCCAGTCTGCCATGCAGGAGGCAGAGGTGATACATGAGTGAGGGGCAGACGTACCCTCAATATGTCATGATGAGAGAGAGGAGTAGGGCAG